AAATTTTGCGAAAATAATTGGCGCGAAGGTGAAAATGTATTTACGTATGACGTCGAATGCCCTAGAATTATATGTCAAAAGGATATAAAACGTTGAATGTCACAACGTTAGACTTCAAAAGGTTAGTGAATTTAATAAAATTTGAGTGGGAGATTGAAAATTCATTCACTTTATCTTAGCGCGCGAGACCCTCTTCTTTGCTCAAACTTTTTTGGAACGAAGTTTGACGACCATCACATGTAATCTTTCTTTCATTTGATACAAATGCATGTTAATTAACTACTTTAGGTCTAATTTTTGTTTGTTTTGTTGATTATTTTCGTGTTTTTGTCCTTCATAGGCGCATTCTGTTTTCTCTCTCACTGGTGGTAACACTTTATTCCGACGAACCCACCTTTTGAAGGTTGGTTTTGTTTTCGTTTTGAAGAACTTATTTGTTGAACTTGTTTGTTGTTTTTTTTTCATGAACTTGTTTGTTGTTATTGTTTGGTTGAACTTGTTTGTTATTGTTGTTTATTATTGATATTACACTACATGTTCATAGTTCATGCTTTATAAAATATCAAAACTGAATTTTCTGATTTTTCTGCTTTTTAGGTCTCGTAGAGTTGTAAAAAACGATCACAATCAATTATAAAAACAAAAAAAAATCATTAACGTCGTATATTGACAAAATTCGACGTTAATTTGCTTTACTAGGAACGTCGGATTGTTCTATATCTGACGTCAATTAATATAAATTAACATCAAATTTTTTAAATGCAACGTCAATTTAACGTCTTCCAATATGACGCTGGTCTCGAATTCGACGTGAAAGGTCGAAAAACACCCACGTTATATGGTGTTTTTTTCCTAGTGAAAGTCAATTTAAAGTATAAGTTAGTGCAAACTTCACCTTACAAGTCAGTTTTTTAGAGTTAAGTAAGGTTTTGTTTCACCTGTTATCGGGTTGTTATCGAACCATTTAATATTTAGTCTCACATACGAGAAAGAGATGTATTGGAAGTTTGACATCAGCTAGAGATAAAACTAATTCACAATATGAGTCCAAACTTCATTTTACAAGTAAGTTTTATGAGATTGAGTTATCTTATAGTCCACTCCTTAATATCTTCCTCTACTTCTCATTGAAACTTGGAACTCTGTCCAATCCCGTAAGAAAAACCTACTTTTGTAAAGTTGTCAAAGCAGCCCATCTTATAAGATTTGGCCCTAGCCCACGTGGGTTGGGGCCAAAAAAGCCCACAGGACTAAAAAAATTTCTCATTAAAAAAGCCCACAGGGCCAAATAGCCCTAAAGCCCTATGGGTCAGGGCTAGCTGATGGACAAATTTATGATCACCAAAATATGATGTCACAAACTTGTTTAACAATCGGCAAGTATGACCGAATCGTTTCAAGTAATAAACTCGTAAAACCAAGATCGTTCTCCCAAAGGACTCACGGCCAGTTTAGTTATGTGATTTGTTGATTAGCTAAGACTTAAAACAAAATACGTGGATTTTAATATGCAAACGACGAAAATAAACATTGTTGTAGGTTGATCAATGGCTAAAACAAAACAAGCACTTTCAAAATATATCTGATGATATGTTTGTTGGGGTCAATTTCATCTTATCACCTCTCAGTATATTTTAGGAATTCAACATTCAAGTCATCATTGTTAATGCCACTCTGCTAAATAACCTTTCAAGAAGGCTTCTCCCTAATTACGAGTTCATACAATTCCGAGCATTTCTAATAGTTAGTTTTTTTTAGCACAGGAGCTTAAGGCACCAATAACTATTGGGATAAATTCCCCGGATCTAGACTTTCCCGTACGTCCCCGTATCGACAAAATCAATAATCAGCTTGATGAGTTAAACAAAAGCAAGCCTTAGAAGCAAAGAGGAAAATCCCTAACTAATGATGAAAGAAAGCATAAATCTTAGATTAAGATGCAAGCACAAATTCCATATATGAGAGCTTCAAAAGATTACATTGATTCCCAACAAACATACAAGGTTTAGTTCACCATATTCATGGTGAACCTAGATGAACATAAATGAAAGAATGAAGGATAAAACCCTAGAAAGGTGAAGAGGTAGCCTGACATCCAAGATCCTCCTTCAAAGGGGTGGAAAGAGAGAGTGTTTGCTTTTCTTTCTGCCAAAGATACCTAACCTAGGAAACCTAAAGTTTATAATTTATTCGTAAATTATAGAAAATTAGGTCCAAGCCCAAAAAGTGCCGCTCAGCGGTAATTGCCGCTCACGGTAAGTGCGCGTCTCTTTCTTCCCTCAGCGGCCATTTTGCCCCTCACGGATCTCCCGTAAGCTCCTGATGGGCCGCTCAGCGGTAAACTGCCGCTGATCGTGACTTCGACTTCTCCTTTGCACTTTTTGATGTCTTTTCTGATTCCATCTCTCTCTTCTTCTCCACTTCTTTTACCAAATTCACCTTAAAAACCCTGCACAAACACTGAAATCAGCATAACCTGTCCTCAGCTCTCTTATTTATGAAAATATGAAGAAAAGCATGATTTCAAGCTAGTTTCTAAGTGTAAAGGTTGCTTTTGTGTCAATTTTAAGCATGAAAATAACAGTTTTTTCAACTGTTGGTCACTAGCCCATGGGCTTTCCTTTTTACCATGCACAAAATATAATAATAAAAGTAGAACAAATTTACAGTGGAAAATAGAAGTTTGCAATGTTAAACCAAAAATAACAGTATTAACGTAAAAACTCGCTGTCCCACTTCCAACTTCAGAGAAAATCTAAAGTGAACTCTCAATCCCTCACGTATGAACACAGTTCAGCTTCAATCTTCTGTCCAGGCCTTGCAAGTCATATTCTCATGCATATTTTGTTTCTTTAAGTTCTTCACTAGATAGCACAGGTCACAATACAACTCCAGCATTCTCTAGTCACATCACGAGCCATGCTTTGTCATTTGATCCAGCTTTTTCAGACCTTTAAGACAACAACAGCACATTATTCATTGCTGCACCAAGTGATACTCACTGCTTGTTTTTATGAGTTCAATTAAACGGCACTCTGGACTAGCTAAAAACTTGCCGCACCAAAAACTGATAAACAAGACATTTCAATTATATCAGCCTTCGTCTCTTGAGTAGTAATGTGCACTCTACGTACAAGCTTTCGCAACTCCTGTTAAAAATATTCATTATAGTAATAAAACAACAAAATGAAGTTGTGCCAATAAATTACCACAACAAGAATATTTTTTTTAAAAGGTCTATTGATACCTTTGTATAGACTATATGTGTTTCATTTGAAAAGCTAAGACAAACCATAATCTCAAGTTTTTACATGATTTCTGGTCCTGAAGGTTGGTTATTGAATAAGCTCTAGAAATTATTTCCTATACCATGGTTAAGATCATTATTGAGTCCAATTGATCAAATCTGAAAGCACAAGACACACTATTGACACTTTCGACTTAGTATAGAGTCACATGCGATAATATTCACTCCTTGGACTGAATAAATTTCATTGGTGATTTCAATGTCCTTGTTGATCATATAACAATACTATAATATTATTTCCAATTTCATCAACATGTCCATGAGGGATTTGCAATGAAAGAATACTGACTATATTATAACTTGCTGGGATATTCTTAGGCAAGTTAGTGCCTTAAACAATAAAAATACATTTCACCAAAATTAACACAGAATTTAATTAGGTGAGTTATTTATCCCGCCAATGTTCTTCTCTTCTTATGCAAACAGAACAAGCCAAATTAAGGTCAGTTGTGAAACAAAACAAGCCAAAATTAGGTGAGTTGGAAATACCTGTAACTCTCCTGAAATACAGAATTATACAACCACCCCAACACCCGCAAAATGTTAATCATGTGTCAAATCATTAATGTCACAAAAAAACAGTGCATCATAAAAACAAATTACATATCAATTCGTTTATGGCTATGTACAACCTAAATAAAGCTATACCTTAAATAACATGTATTTTCCCTAGTTATTGATGCCCTAATTAAAGAGCAATAGAAAGCTTGGTCAATCAAAAGCATTTAATTTACCAACTTCCCTTCTTGGAAACAAAATACCCATCTTTGGACTTTTCACCTGTCATCCAAACATATCAATACATACTTGAAGAATAAATAACAAATATATAGACTTAGACTTATCGGACAAACAACAGAAGGGCCCCTGATGTATTATCTAATAATACTTGTAAGAATAACCTCAAACAAAAATAAACTAAACCAACATTATTATACTTCAACCAGTAACAGACAAAATACAGGATAACATTAGTATTATGACAATTCGGAGAAAAAAAAACCAGCTACACATGACATTAGAAGATGCAGCAAATGTAACACAAAATAACCAACACCTATATATTTAACCAATTATATGCAAAAATATATAAGCTATTGCCTGGTAAAGTTAATGCAGAACACTATGCTTGCTTTTGAATAAAAATAGAAATACAGAGACTAAGCTAAAGTTGTATGCATATTTAACATGTATTTAATCTTCCTTTTAAACTGGAGTATTTTTTGCTGACATAAAGAAAATAAGAAGACTTCTATAGAACGAAAGATAAAAGGTTCATCTTTCAGAAACATCACCATCATTATTTCAAGAGGCATATGATTTGGCAAAGTACCTGTGTACAAACCAGGTAATATGGCCCAGCCTCATTCAAGAGTTTTGCAGATCAGATCCACTAAACACCAGGCGTTCTCATGGAATCACATCAAGAGAAACATCATCTCAAACTTTTTATATTGCTACCATGAACCTTTAGAATTTCGCGTCCTTCCCCTTATATTGGAACATCAACAGTAACCTGCAGAAGCATTGATGTTCAGTAATTATACTCATTAACAAAAAGAAGTAGCATTTCATATATATCAACTGTCTATCAACCGTCCTGGTCTCATAAGCAGGATTAAGAATGTCTGCCCTGTTAGTTGCTGCAAAATGACAATGATACCAGTATTACCCTCAAAACCATCCATTTATGTCAAAAGTTGGTTGAGGGTTTGCTCTCTTTCATCATCCCTCCACCAATTCCAGTTCCTCTTTGAGTCCCAACAGCAGTGAACCTCTCAACAGGGTCGTCGTCGGGGAAATTGAGGTTGTTGGGGTTGGTGGCGGCGGTGGTGTCGGTGTGGGGTTTGTTGGGGCCTTTTTCCATGGAATCCATGGATTTGAAGTGAACCCAGGAGGAGGGAGAAGCGGTGGTGGAGTTGTTGATGAGGCTAGGGAGAGGGAGGGAGCGGAGGCATTGGATTTCGGTGCGGTAGCGTTTGCGGAATTTTTCCATTTTGTGGCGGCACTGGACGGCGGTTTTGGCAGTGGCAGAAGCGTTGGGGCACTGGGCAGTGATGGCATCGGCGACCTCTTGCCAGTGGATGGCTTTGAGGTTTGTGCGGCCGAGGGAGTACCACTTGTCACGGTAGGTGTCGATGAGGGCGGAGGTTTCCTCCGGGGTCCCCAGCATTACGGTGGGAAGACAGTGTGGAGAAGGTGGAGGGAGGGGTTGCGAGAGTGAAGGAGAGGTCGTTAAGTGGTCAGTGAAGTGGTTGTTCAGAAGAGATTGGAGAGAAGAAATTGGGGCTAGGGGGCTAACCCGGTCCTACTTCATTTACAACCCATCTGATGGGGGCTTTGGGGGCCAGGGGCTTTAAAAAAGCCCCTAAGGTGTGGGTCAACAAAAACAGGGCTAAATATAAATTGGGCCAGGGTGAGCCCTGGGACTTTGAAAAAAATTGACAGCTCTATACTTTTGTAACAATGGACTTAAAATAGCATCTAAATCACCAACAATCAAAATAAAATGCAGTCATTCCTGAACTCTAAAACTGGTGGGATGATAGAAAAGGTAATGCATCCAGAATGCCCAGACCTGTATCATTTTTTTGAAACAAATCCACAAGTGCAATTTTATAGATAAGTTAGATTTAATCAATTACAATTCTTACAACAATTATTTTTCAATGCAATTGACAATTACTTATCCTATCACTAGATGATGACATTGTTGCATGTTTTGCTCTTTGGACATGAAACCACAAAATGGTTGCATGATATATACATAATCGATCTTCGTGAGACAAAGAAGAAAAGAGCTAAAAAATAGAAAATGCACATCAAATTATGTGAATAACTGTTTGTGAACTTCATCCGACTGAACATATTTTCAGCCAAAATTAACAATTTTCAACTCAACTTGTAGGTGCAAGTTTTCAAAGCTCCCTATCATATCCGTTTAGAATTTAAAAAAAGAATCTGAAACATTTTTCATAACCAGCAATCAAGACAGTGAACTCACTTCACCAAAATATCTTGGGTGTTGCTCCCTCCACCACCACACCTTTCTCCCTCCACCTCCCATTTACTATTTTGCCCTTTAAGTAAAATTTTTTTTTAGGGTTATTTTTTAATTTTACCCATTCACAACCTATTCCACTAATAACTTATTTTAGTTCTTTTTATATGAGTAAAATATTTTTCTTTTATTTTAACATTATATTTCTTCCTCTCTTTCTTTTGTCGGTGTGAGATACTACAAGTTGTAAAGGTTGATGGTGATGGAAAGAATTATCAAGCAGTCTCCCTCTCGTGGTGCAATGTCGCTCTTGTGGTGCAATGTGTGGAGTGGTGCAGTGCGTGTGTTACTTCCTCAAGGTGCGTATTCGAATAAACCTTCAAATAAAACCCTAAAATAAAAAATGTAACCTTTAAACAGAGGTGACATCCTTCAACGGATGTCAAAATCCTTCAACGGATGTCAAAATCCTTCAACGGATGTCAACATCCTTCAACGGATGTCAACATCCGTTTAAGAAAAAAACGGATGTCAACATCCGTTTAAGGAAAAACGGATGTTGACATCCGTTAAAGGATGTCACCTACGTTTTTAATTTTAGGGTTTGTCTTATTAGTTTATTCTTTATTTTAGAAATATTTTAATAATTTAATTTAAATGTTTTGATTTATTATTTTTGAATATATTTTTAATGTATTTTAATAATGTAAGGAAAATGAAGAAGAAAGAAACAGATGAGGAGAAGTGAAACGAAGAAGACAAATGGAGTTGTAGAGTAAAACTGAAGACAAATTGTTAAACGGAATTGAGAGATGGAAAGATTGAGTGCAGGGAGTAAAGTAGGAGAATTAGGTTTGAAATAAATTAAAATAGTATAAGTAAAAAAATTTAATTTGAGGATATAATTGGAAATAAAAAAAATTGGGGAGGTGGAGGGAGAAAGGTGTGGTGGTGGAGGGAGCAACACCCAAATATCTTCCTAAAAACACATTAAAAATAAGGCATGTGGAAAATTCATACAAACTCAAAGGTATCAATCTTAATGAATAAATTAGAAATATTTATCATTGAATCCCGAGGCATGAAAACACATAAAATGGTCTCAAATTTCATTAAAAATAAATGAAACATAGTTTTTATGGTAGTACCATATCATAGCATATATTCCAAGCAAGTTTTTATGGTAAGGAACTATCCATAGCTTTGGTCGTTCCAAAAGCTTGAAAAAAAAAGGGTGCCTAATGTTTTGAAACCATAGATTACTTATTTTCCAGAAGCTAATCACAAATTTTGTCAATTTACATTAAATGTATCTAATGATGATAAGTTGGGAACTTTTGTGGTTTAGTCTCCCCTAGAAATGTATAGCCAGAGGGGTCAATCACTTTTGCACCTTTATGCTAATTGGAATTAAAGGGTGATTAGGAAAATAATTAAAAAATTTACCTTAACCAATCTCAATAAATTTTCACTGTTTGAATTGTGTGCTTGATTAACTGGGTTAGATGAGTACTAACATTTCGTATTTCATATTAAATTACAAATGTCTGCGTTAGCCCGAACAGTGTACGTTTATATCGCATAAAATCATACTAAAACATATAATGTATGAATTTCTCATTCAGTTGTATTTGCTTAGACAAAAAGAATGTCATTCTGTAAATATTCACTATTAGCTAGTTCCATAAAGCATAATTTGTTTCTGTACAAAACTATGTAGTTATTGTTTATGATAAACCTTAATAAAAAAAAGCAAAAGATTGCAACCGATAATAAAATCATATTTAACACTAACTTCAGTGTTTTACAAAATCAAATCCGCAAATTCATGCTGATAGCAACCCCTCATGTCGCACCTACCAAATACTATCGAGTTCCCAAAACAAAATGAGTTACCCCAAATATATATCTATATTCAAAAAAGGTGGGGAAACACAAGCTACCACTACGACGACACTATCAAAAAAAAAATAGAAACTACCTTTACCAAGACCACCAATATAAAAAAAATGGGAAGAAAAAAAGAGCTTAAAACTTAAAAAGTAGATTATCCAAAAAAGGCTATCCTCAATTATCCAATTGCTTGAGATGTGTATTCTCCAGTGCATTTCCAACCAGGCTTACTCTTCGAGTGAGTTGATCAAGCAGAAGCAGGAACACGAACACCATTGGTTTTGACTGATGCATTAGCAGAAGCAGCACCTGGGCGATTCATGCGTCCACCAGTGGGTCCCATATGATCGTTTCTCTGATACCCCTCACCTCCACGGTTTGATAAACCTCCCCGGTTGCCATTCCTATAACCATATTCTCCCCTGCCATTGAAGTCATTGCGACCATTGAAGTCATTGCGTCCATTGAAGTCATTGCGACCATTGAAGTCACTGCGGCCATTGAAGTCACTGCGGCCATTGAAGTCATTGCGACCATTGAAGTCACTGCGGCCATTGAAATCATTCCGGCCATAGTTTCTGCCATTTCCGTAATTTCCACGTCCTCTTAGGCCATCTCCCCTGTAGCCTGGAGCCCTACCAGATGTGAACCGTCCTCTGGTATTACCTGAACGGAAAAGTAAACGAATGGCTGAATATTTGGAATGCAATTAAATCTAGATGTCAATCAAACCAAGATTCAATCAAAAAACACTTGCCTCGATTAGTTGATTTCTTCTCTTCAACAACAATTTGGCGGTCGCCAATCATAATTGGAGAAGCCTGAAGTTTTAATTAAAATTAAGATTAAAATATGTAACTATCTTGAGCAATTAACTACAACAGAAATCAGGAGCTTGCGTACAGAGCATCCCTTCAACCCAAAACAAGAGAAGATAATAACTACGAAAATTTCAATACTGACAATCATTTAACAAATATCAACCCAGCAGTAGTGCACCTTATAAATTAATAACACAAAGTGAAGCCCATCTTAATATATGTTTAAAACATGTAGCCTGAAAACCAATTTATGCCTCTGTTCAACCCAGCAGTAGTGCACATTATAAAACTAATAATAACAGAGTGAACCACATCATAATAAAAGTTTAAAACATGTTGCCAGAAAAAAAACATATGCCAGTGTAATGAGGCATAAAATTAAAAGATAACAAATTTGTTAATCTCAGTTTGAAATCAGATTCTAGTGAACCATTTATAAGTATTGAAATGTCTTCAAGATGAAGATTGGATATGGATTAGTATGGTACATTTAGAATAAAAAAAATACCTCAAGAGCAGCTTGCACAGCACTTGCCACTTCAAACTCCACAAACCCAAAGGAAAATCCCTGTTCAAGACATGCATACAAATTAGCTCAAAGAACTTGTCATGAAAGAGCATACAATCAACAAGAATTGTACCTTTTGGGTCCTAACTTGGATACCACCAATCTTAATGGGTCCAAACTTCTTAAACTCACTTTCCAGGAGGACAGGTGTAGCACTTGAAGAAAGACCTTTGACATAAATAGAATAGCCCTCAGCTGTCCAAAATCAAGTAAAGAAGTTAACACCTCACCAAGTTATACATAAATCAACTTTGTACATTAAATTTTGTAACTGACAAGATACAGCACCTTCAGCTTCTTGAACAGTAGAAGCATTGACATCTGAGATAACATTGGGTGGTGATGCAGCAGCCTCCTGCTTAGGTTCATGATTCTTGTGTGCACGTTTCACAGAAACAGATGTCAGAGGAGCAGATGCCACAACACCCTCTTTCATGACCTTCACCTAAAAAGATCAACTAATTAGAAAGGAGAATAAAAAGTTTCGGAGTAAAAGGAAAATAAAAGCATTATCGTGGTCAATTTTCAGAATTTCATTGCATATTATAGAATCAAAGGCATTTAAAAAAAAATGGTATATCAACTATCAAATTAGTAAAAGCTGAAAATGACAACAATGACAGAAGTAGTTTTAGCATGGATACTAACAATAGAGGCATAAGACTTCTTTGGGAGATCTTCCATTTGAGATGCAATCCCGGCCACCATCTGAGAAGCATCAGGAATTTCATCAACAACCTCAGCTACAGGTGCTTCCTCTTCTTCAATTGAAGCTTGAGTAGTTTCTGGATTGTAGACTTCCTCCCCATGATCCTCAACTGCCACATGTATTTGTTCAGAGACAGGGGTCTGCAGCACAGCATCTGCAACTGAAAAATTGGGAAAGTGGTAATTTTAAGAGTCAAAAGAAGCTAAAAAAAATAAAATTTAATCACTACTTTAGCTACTACCAGTGTCAGGATGGACAGGAGATACAGTATCCTGAGCAGGCACTTCAATCCCCTTCTCATCGACATATCTGAAAGCATCATTAAGAACAAAGTAGCCTTTCTCTTGGGGAGCAAGAAAGAAACATTGACTAAATTTCCGTTTATTGTCATCCTTTCCAATCATAAAACCTGTGACCAATACAATGACTCCCCCATCATAAGATTCTTGTGAATCAACAGATATGATCTCTGCACTGAGCTCACCATAACCCAGCGACAGTATCTTCTTGTTGATTTCCTGCACAATAAAATTAAAAAAATCAATTATTCAAAATGACTTTTCTGTGAGAAAAAAATGCTTACAGAAAAATTAAATATATGGACTTCAAAAAATCTACTACTGAACATGGAAAAAATAAATTCCTAATTCAATGCTCAAATTTTAAAACCCTTTCCAAATGCACAAAGTAAAATGTCGAATGTTCAAAAATAATAAAATATGGCTATAAATGCGAGGAGTGATCTTACAGGTCTTGGCATCTTAGAATTGCATGCAAGAACACCAAATGTCAAGAATAAAAAACATCTACAAAAATAAAACAAAAAGCTCCAAAAAAAGTGAAGAAAAGATGGAGGAGAAAACTCACAGACATAGTGGTTGTAACACCCATTATACCATTCTGTTCAGGTCGACCAAGCTTACTGACATCTTGGTAAAACCTATGCACCAGTTCAGGGCTTTCATGCAACATATGATAGTATTGATCAACAAAGGCATTACCAACCTACATTGTAATTTTATTCAAAATCAGTCAGTTTAGTCGTGCAAAGATTAACTGGGAAAAGCACAAATCAAAATTAGATATACATACAATATCAGCATCAGGAGTCGTGGGAGTGGCTTGTTGTTCTGAAGTTGCCATAATAACTGTTTCCAAGAGCAGTCTAACTGAAAAATTAAAATCACCAACTTATCATCAAACATATAAGATAGAAAATTCAGGCCAAAACAAAAAGGCTGAAATCTCAAGAAAATTTGAAAACAAAAATGTTAAGCTAAACCATTTTTTTCTTCAATAGCAATCCAAAACTGACAAAACCTACATGATAAAATTGTTTTATGTCCTAAAAACTTAAACAAATACAAAAGAGAACGTGAGACATAAAAATTTGAAAAACGTTTACATCGTCCCACTATGCCACCGAAAAGCATAGAAAATAACAACAAATAGAAGAAATTACATTGATTAACCTAAAATAACCACTCGTAAATAATACAGGCACTCGAGGATTAAAACAATAAAATATCTCCGAAAGACTAAGAAAAATACATTATCAAACATAAAAAGAAAAACAAAAATAAGGATTCTACATTCACTGCGGATCCAAAACAAGTACGGCAAGCCACTTCTAACAATTAGTTTCCACGTTCAATTCCAAAACGAAATTCTAAAAGCAACATTTCTCAAACTTAAATTCCCACCCGGAAGTTCACCATGAAAACCATTTGAAAGGCTATAAGAAAAAGAAAAAAAGCGGAAGAACAGAAGAGGGTTTAGTTTTGACCTGGATCGGAATAAGCAAGGCGCGAGAAGAAGGGTAGCGTGTACGACGCTGCGTGTTCTTCTCAGCTTCCTCAGGGGTTTGCTAGGGTTTGGACTGCGGGATCTTGCAGGGAAGAGAGAGAAAGAGACCCTTCAACGTACGGTTGAGAGAGAGAGAAAAATAGAGAATGCGAAAGAACACTTGTAATTGTAATGTCTTTTTTTTTTCCAACGTAGGAATGTGGTATATATAATGGGTCTGAACCTTCTTAGGAAAAATGTCTATTCATATATCTTTTATCATTGATTATATCCTCTTGATTTTCTTTCTTTCATCATTTATTATATCCTTTTGATTTTCTTTGTTTCATCATTTATTATATTTTCTTTATTTTCTTTCTTTTATAATTTATTATAATTTTTATTATAATTCGAAAATATGTAATTCGTAAAACATTTATCAATGAATGCTATCAAATTTTAGTTTAAAGATTAAGAAAATATAAGAAAGAAAGAAGTAATCATTGTGGACTCATTAAAGATATGAAATAACGATTGCAATACATAAGAGTGTTATTTATTAAGTAGGACAATTTCATTGTTAAAGTAAAGTAAAAGAAAATGAACCGATTTTATCATAAATATTAAAATCAAAATACTTTTTTGCATGAAAATGGTTGCAAATTTTTAGATGTCGTTGAAAGTAGATTTTTAATTAATTATATAATTATCTCTACAGATTTTAAATATATAGTGACATAATCATTTAAATTTTTTTTATTATCTAATTCGTTATATCGCATTTTCGCTTAATATATAGTGACATAATCATTTTATATATTTATCATCTTTTTATTCATTTATATTATATACTTTTATATATATATATATATATATATATATATATATATATATATATATATACACATATTATTAGAGTGAAAAAAACAATATAAATATAATATTTTAATTCTAACGGCTTATAATTAATAAAATAAAACATTATTAAATTAATAAAATAAAACTTAAACTTATATATATAATATTAATACAATTATCTAAAAAAAATAACCATAATAATAAATATGTGACTAAAAATAATCATTAGACAACTAAAAAAAATTTCTCTATATCATCATTTTCTATTAGAGATGTTTTAATACTTATTCCTCATCTTCTCACACTAACAAAGAGATTATCTAAAAACAAACAAACGGAACATAAAGGAAAGCATATAACAAAAAACGACAAAACAAGCTAATGTGCAAAAGATTTGGCCTAATATAATCGTAAAGTATCAATTTATAAACTAAACATGTACAACATACAACTAGTCATATATTCACACAATCAGTCGACATTAAACTCAATTATCCGAATACTTGTCTTCGACATAAGACTATAATGTAAGTGTGCACTTATAGTGGTATCACCCCTACCACCTACATGGTTAATCTGTTTCGCGTCTAAGACCAAACATTGTCCATCTACCAAGACCTTTTGCGACTCTCATTACATATCTTATTATACTTTATATAGTGTGAATAGTTATTAAAGTTCAATATACATTCTTTTTTACCCATATATTAATGCATACATTAAATATTATCACTACACAACTTTTTTCTTGAAATTCTCTCAACAATACTTCTAAACATATTATCAATTATATTATCAAACATACGTAAAAATTATAATAAATCTATTTGAAAAAGTTCATATCATAAGAAAATTATAACAATATACTGAGTTCATTAATAACTTTCAACGTCAAACATTTAAAAAAAAAAAAGAAATTGTGATAGTAAAGCATTTATTAATAAATACTATTAAGTTTTAGTTTAAAAATTAAGAAAAAAATAAGTAATTTAATACAGATCATGGATTCATCATATGTATGAAAATAATGATTACAATATATGAGAATGTTATTTAGAATAAAAAAAAATAAAGTAGGACAATTTTCTTCTTAAAATAATTATATTTTAATTTATAAAATAAAATAAACTAATTTTGTCAAAAAGATGGTTTCAAATTTTCTTAGATGTCGTCGAAAATAGTTTTTTAATCAAAAATATAATTATCTCTACATATCTAAATATATTGTGACATGATTACGTTTAACTTTTTGTTATTATCTAGTTCATTAATTTATATATATATATATATATATATATATATATATATATATATATTAATTATTAGAGTGTGTATTATATCGTATGCATGATCGTTCTCGCAAAAGCTACCCATTACTTAATGCATGAGATCGATTACAACCGATAGGTCGAGCGACAATGACATAAGCAGGTAAGTTAAAAAAATATTAATGGTTAATTATTAGGTTTAATGATCATACTAAATGTGAATATACAATATTAATGAATGACACGTTATATTGTTTAAGAATATACTATATTAATGGATAATTAATGGGTTTTATGACTACGAAGCCTATAAGTATGAGATTAAAGACCAAGTAAAATCATCTTTTTCCAGAATTACATTTAGACCTTCTTGAGAGACATATCTGACTTGAGCGTCGGAGTGTTTCCTACAGGTCAATCACACTCGGAAGATAACCTTTGGAAGATTGGATGATCAGAGGATTACAATGAGGTGCCCGAGTGATCAAGAGTGTAACTAGGAAGACGATTGACCTCGGACCCCTTCAACCGAAACATTTGGCACCCATCGTGGGGCCTGAGGAGCATAGGACAAACCTAGTTGACACCACAATGACAGAGCAACTTCAGTTGGAGGTATTTCAAGAGATGCAGAGGCAGATGGAGGAGTTGAGAGCTAAGGTAGCAGCCTTAAGGGCAGAGCAAGGTGATGGTCAGAGGGAGTAATCAGTCCAATAGTCGGTAGTACCAACGCAGGATCACTGGGCTGATAATTTTTTGCGACAATCCAGGCAGAAAACAGGGGCCAGGAGGCCACAAGTGCTTTAGTAAGGGGGCTCAAGAGTTTCAGCCTAATCTCGTAAACCGCTCGGATCAGCCAAAAGCATTTGGCCCAATCGTGCGACCTAATCAGGCAGAGATACTTCATCCTTTCACAACGGTAGTGATGAGGGCTCGTATGCCTGAAAACAAAATGCTTCTCGCGATTGAGAAGTATAGCAAAATGACTGGTTGATGATTCAATATTTTATCGACTTCACTTAGCTTATTGTACTACATTTAATTAATGAATTGTGTTTGAATGTCCATTATTTCCCCAATTTTTCTAGTTGTGCTTAATTTGACTAGTATTTCTTATTTTAATTAATTTGAATTATCTCAGACTAATTTTTGTCATTATTAATTATAGGGAATTTTTGGAATCATATTTTGGGGACATTAAGAGTTGCCACGTCATTCTAAATAATCAACATCAGCATTTTAGTTTAGAATTAAGTTGTAAATTCATTTTAGGGTTTTTGGACCAAATTTGCGTTTTTTTGGATAGAATTAGCATTGGGCCGTTTTTGGCCATTTTTTTTGGAGAGGCCCATTAGTCAAATCTAACCTAAGTTTTAGTGTCCAAATGGGGGGCAGACCTAGGTAACTCTCCTCATTCTACACATTACGTTTTTGGCTTCTCGGAGAGCTCCATCTTAGGTTTTCGTTTTTCCCCCTTTTGTTGTATTGAACTAGTTATATATTCAATGGCATTTCCATTTTCAATTCATTTTTTCTCTCTTTGCTTGCTCCTGCACTTGGGTTTTCGTTTATACTTTCGTTTTCATAGTATAATTTTGAATTGCTTTGATGTTTGTGTTTCCAATTGGAATTACGTTTTCTGAGTTGCATTTCGTTTCCACACTCTTGCATTTACGTTTTTGCTTGTTCTTGAATAGAGGAGAGCTCTCCAAGTTTTAGGTTCATCTTCTATTTTTGTTTTCCTCTTTATTCTTCATTGTATTTGTTTTAATGGCATTCTCCATTTCATTTATGTCTTTACACTTACATTCTACAATTTAAATTTCGTTTTTCATTTGGTTCCAACATTCATTTTTGTTTCTGCACTTGGGTTTCAAATCCATTTCGTTTTCTGAGTTTGATTGGTGCATTTAATTTCGTATTTTGCTACATTCCAGTAATTGGGTTTCATTTTCGTTTTAGGATTAAAGTTTTCATTTTCAACTTTGTACTTTCGTTTTCGAATTGCGTTTATGTTTTCTAGTTTTAATTTAAGTTTGCATCTTAGTTTGAGTTGCGTTTTTGGTACTTGTTGTTACGTTTTTGTTGTTGTTATACTCTCAATTTTAGTTCTGTTTTGCTGTTTTAGTTTCGTTTTAATGGTAGCTTAGGTGCGCTTCGTTGGTCATTAGTGAAATTGCATTGTTTCCATGAGATTTATGAGTTCGAGTTGTGATTTTGCTGCTCTGATTTGGCTCATGATTCAATATGTTTTGCACTTGAGATTGGGTATACGCTTAGTTACCTAATTAGTGTTTAATCTTCGCTTAGTTGGTTGGACTGTATGATGCAGAATTGATTGAATTTGTGCATTGCATTCGCTTAGTTTGCAATTTTGAAGACCGGATTAATCTTCGCTTAATTGGTTGATTCGTGTTGAATTAGGGTTAGAGTAGTGTTTAATTATTATTAATCTGTGATTGAAAGCATTGTAATTGAGTTAGTGACAAAACGTTTTTTCTCTGTGTTTAATTTCGTGCTTTGATTTAGTTTATTTTCAAGTCACAAAATCTCTTCACAAAACCCCCCACAAAGTGTTCGATCTAATGTCTGAAGCAATATTTGGTCCTTGAGAGACGACCTGGGAGTCACTTTCTAGTCTATACTACACTTAATTGCATATCAATTTGATTCGGGTACGACCTCAATCAAATTGGGATCCGTTGTCGAGGACCAACGATTCAGGTTTAGGTTTGTGTTATGTTCTGTGTGTGTTATGTGCTCTATACAAGTGGTGTCGAGTAACATTGGCTCTAGGCGTGAATAATGCCCAATTTTGTCTAATTAATTGGCTTTTTTGGTTTTGATAGCTAGGGGTCTTGTTTTTTGTTGAATTTTGGTGTGGTAACTTCTTTTCGCCCATTTTTTCATAGAAAAATCCCAGAATCACTTGTGGTTGTCCTGGTCAAGTTTTGTGAAAAACACGTCGGACCAAACTTCACGACGACGTAACTTTTGCTCATGATGTCCGAATTTGATGTATCATATGTGCTTTTTGGGTGGGAAAATGTCAGCTATTGATTGCTCCAAGCTTGTGCATGGA